TTTTTTTTTTTTTAAAAGAAAGACCTAATTTATCAAATCAGGAGATTTATCACATTCCCCAGGCTTGGATTTCAGGATGACTTTGATAAGCTGATTATCTTGGATCAATGAACCACGTTTCCACAAGGAATATCACAGTGAGCCTGAGTAGCAGCTGCCCCCTTTCCAGGGGGCATGCACCCCTCCCCCACCAGATACAGTTCAGTTCTTACCCATCCTTCCTCACTCTGGGAAGGCATCTGCATTTATGATTACTGGTGTACACTCTTTAATAGCAAATTAAAGATGTGAGGTTTATTTCCATAGGCCATAGACGTGTTTGGCTTCCCAGGTGGTACAGTGGTAAAGAATCTGCCTGCCAATGCAGGGGGCGCCAGAGATGAGGTTTGATTCTTGGGTGGGGGAAGATCCCTTGGAATAGGAAATGGCAACCCACTCCAGTATTCTTGCCTAGGTAACCCCACAGACAGGAGAACCTGGCAGGCTACAGTCCCTGGAGTCCCAAGAGTCAGACGAAACTGAACAACTCGGCACAAACACACACATGCACAGGTAGACATGTTTTGCAATGGGTGGTGAGTAGCTTCAAGATTCCACTGTTTGTCATTTATGGAATGAATTATAGGTTATGGGGATAGTGTATATGGGAAAGAATAAGTTTGTGGCCATAGTAACGATTACATTGAGAGAGAAACTGTGATCCGAGTATAATTCAAAGGCAACATAGACTTTTCTCATTCTCCTACTAAGATGAGGGTGGGAGGAAATGGAAGGGGCCTAAATTCACTGATATTTTGAGCCCAAGAGAAGGGAAAATAGAAGGGCTGTGAACATACTTTGAGTATCAGAGGGGTTGATGATTTTGGAGGAAAGATGAGTTTATATTTTCACACCCGAGCTGCTGAAACACATCAGAATATTTCCATGGAAGGTTGACAGGTGTGAAATTGAGGGGATCACTGAAACAACATAACTGACTAAGATGGGAAGTAGGATATTGTTTTGAATAATGCCTACATCTAGTGGGGAAAAACAGAGAGTAGTGAGAAGAGCTGAAAAGAACGGGCCTGAGTAAACAGAGAATCCATCCGGAAGGGGATGGTGAAGGAAACAAATTCAAAGGCTAAATCGCAGCAGATGCTACAGGGACCTCCAAGAGGATGGGCACAGAGATGCCATCGAGGACACAGACAGGTGTGATGCAGAAATTAACATGGTGTACTCCAGCTCATTCACATTATAGATGAGGCATAAGTATAAAGTGAGAGTGCAGATCATCAGTACAAACTACTTTTATGCATCAGGGTAGGAAGGAAAGTAGTGACATAGGACAGTGTGTTGAGTCAGGAGCAGGTTTCTGGGAAGGATTCTGTAGGAGTTTCATAGTATCCACTTTTTCTTGCAACAATCCTACCAGCATAGTTTCTAATGCTCCCTCAAAGATAATGCCCGATTATTGTATTGTACCACACTCAAGAGGTAAAGAATTTGCCTGCAATGCAAGAGACCCTGGTTTGATTCCTGGGTCAGGAAGATCCTTTGGAGAAGAGATAGGCTACCCACTCCACTTTTCTTGGGCTTCTCTTGTGGCTCAGCTGGTAAAGGATCNCAAAGAGAAATATTACATGTAGTCTTTAATGGGATACAGAAATAGTAACTATTTATAGATGATTTATTTATATGCATACCATTATAAGCTTGCAATCTTATAATTAATAAAGCCCTGCAAATCTGATTGAGGGACTATGAGAGAGAATTTAAATTTAAAAAGAGGCCAAGAGTTGAAACATGAGCCACTGAAGGGGCAAAAATACAGGAAAGAAAGGAAGCCTCTGCCAAGCTGACTCAAGTGACCAGGCAGTTAGAAGGAAAATAAGTGAGGTGAGGCTTTCTGCCAAGGAAGGAAATACGCAAATATTTCCAGGGGGAAGGAAGGATCCCATGTCAAAGATGAGGATGGTAAATTGATGATTGGACTTAGCAACAGGAATTTCAATGGTAACCTTAGTGAATCCCTTTCCATGGGACACATTGGGAAGAAACAGCCTAATTCAAATAAGGTTAAAAAGTTTGGACATCTTGAGCACGGAAAGTGTTTGCAAAAATAAATCCCTCTGGGGCCAGCAGAAAGATGAACCTTGGTTTCTGGAAGCAGAAGAGCCAACTGATGCTAAGAAGACTCTTGAATTATTACATAAGGAAGAACTACCCTTTATTTTTAGGTGGCTTAAACAGACATCTACTTATCAATGATATGAGGTAAAAATAAAAACAAAATAAGATAGTGGGGTTACATTCAGAATGATAAGATTTTACAATGACTATGTTAGGATAGATTTGAAAGATTCTGCTGCCTAAAAATTAAGCTAAAACCTATCAAAGAAAATAATGGAAAATAATGGCTGTATATAAATATGCCAGAAAATCAAATTAAAAAAAATTTAAAAGTGAATTAATTATTAATTAAAAATGCTACATTGATTAAAAGGCTACACAGCTATGTTACTATGAGACAAAATGAAACAAGTCAAAACCATTACAAAAGAAAACAGACTTGCTTTATTTTTTGAGAGAAAAATACTTTTATCTGTAGTTAAGCAATTAATAACCTTCAAATATTTAAAGCAAAGATTGATAAAACTAACTGGAGTATTGGCAAATGCTTAAAAACGTTTATAAATATTTTACAATATTTTGTAAGAAAATGGAAAATTCACTAGAAAGAAAATAAATAATTACAAAGATGAAATAATAAAGCAATTAGTAAGCTTGTCTAAACAATAGATATGTGTATGTCTACTTATAAACAATGAATATAGACAGTGAATTGGAGAAGGAAATGGCAACCCACTCCAGTATTCTTGCCTGGGAAATCCCGTGGACAGAGGAGCCTGGCAGATTACAGTCCATGGGGCCACAAAGAGTCAGACAAGACTGAGTGACTAACATATACAGTAAATTGTTATAAAAATAACTATGCATTAAACCACAGGGGAAATTTCTTAACTTTATATTATTAAAACCATAATTACTGACCTCAACTCAAGGAAATTTGAAAGTAACAACAAATAACATCTAGAAATTAAAAACAACATTTTTATAAAATTGAGGGGATAGAGAAAAAACAAACCAAAATTGAAAAATAACTTGGATTGAATGGCAATCCTAAATATGTGAATACAGATAAAACACTGTAAAGAGTTATGTTTGAAATGCATTTACTGTAAACATAAACATTTTAAATAAATGAAATAAGTTTTAGCTGACTTGTAAG